CCCCCCCTTGCCATAACATGTCTTCATGTTTCCCAGTCTTTGCTTTGAGGAATTTTTAATTTATGAAGTTTTAGACCACTCGCTACCTCAGAATTACAAAGTTCTATCTGGAATTGTTTGCTGTTTTGAGTTGCCTTGACCATGACGTCAAAAATCAAATGTTCTATCAAAATCGTAAGATTATTCTGAATCGTTATCCAGATATTCAAAGGATTGCATTCGAAAAATCTTGATGTTGTGAAACTCAAATTTTTTTGACGCCAAATTTCTCAAAACTAGGTACTGAGCAGATAGAACTTTGTAAATATATGAGGTACCGCATTGTCAGTTTTTACGTTTTCAAAGTACCCTTATTCGGCCTACTTGGAGCTTAAAACGTACTCGAAAACACTTTGGATTTACAGTATTTCCAACTTACAGTAATTTGTAACATGAGCGGTTCTGGGATCTGCGACCGGTCCATTGTCGAGGTTGGTTGGAAGAGGACAGTTCAGTATGCAAATTGATGATCTAGCCTTTGTCGCTTGAAGCTTCCGTTGTCTGGTCGTTTACTCGCCAGCTGTAAGGCACGGTGCAGACTTAATGTAGATCTGCGGATTGTGAATGAAGTTCATGTTAGAGTCGACTTGGGAAAAAAACCCCAAATGGACTTAAGTGTGGTGTCCTTGTTTGGGTTCTTTAAGATCTACTTAAATTAAAACAAATACAGACTTCAAGAAATGTAGTGTATCGCTCTTACAAGGCACTCACAAAAGTTTCCTTCCTACCCCGCGTCTACCCACAACCAAAGCTCAGGCCTCTACCCAATGAATATTCCTAACTTAGTTTTATTACCTAGTGGGGGTAATAAAGTTTCATGTACCAGGGTATGGTAACCAGAGACGCAACTGAAAGGACAAACAACCAACAACAGATAGCCGACACAACAATAAGCATGGTACTATCGAGTCTGGGTAATTCGTAAAGACCATTACTCTGATTGAATTGGAATCCACAGGGTAATGTGACAGATCAAGGGAAGGACCACGTGGAAACTGGAGAACGGGTAAAATGAAGAGGCAAGGCTAGGATAGGGAAAGGTGGAAAGTGTTTGTTCGTGGTCAATACTCTGATGCAAGGTGAGAAAGGCAGTGATGATCAAGAAGATGATGATTACTCTGAATTAAAGCCACACAATGGAAGGGCTTCCGTAACCACCGACCACTCCAACAAACGCAATAAAGAAGATACCTAACCCCAACCCAAACCCTAACCCAAACCCAATCGGCAAATGTGGCTTTAGATCCTTTATTTTCCTGACTCCTTCATGTATTTTATTCACGTACAAACGAAGAACTCCTTTTTCAGTTTATATAATATATA